ACACACACACACACACACACACACACACACACATGAAACCAGTCTCAAGAATGACCCATGACACGAAGGATGAGCGGAGGAGGACGGATCATCTCACCTGTGAGCTCCTGCTGTTCGTGCTGTAGGTGCTCGGCCGTCGTTTGGGCCACGGGTGAGGCAGGATGCCGCTGAAGGTTCCACCGCTGTACGTCCGGCCGCCGACCCCCTCCACCACATCACCCGGGACGCTGTACTCGTCGTCTGCCATCTCTCCGTCCGACCCCCGGCTCCTCAGACGGAAATTGAAGATGGAGGAGACCTGACTGCTCCGCCGAGTCCTCGAGGAGAAGGAGCGGGCCAGGAGGGGGTGGAGCGGCTGGGGAGGAGAGGGGATGTAAAACCCACCGCAAAATGAAACGATAGATGACTTTCTTCTGCCTTCTTCCTCGCTCACCTTTCCCCCGTCCGTCATGTCCACCTGCAGCAGCTTTTCCTCTGATAGGTTGGACTCCACGTCAGCCACTCCCACCAATGCTTGACTCCGCCTCCGCTCCTCCAGGCTGTCCAGGGGCGGGCCAAAGGGCGACAGGTCTGGTGACATCGAGTCCGAGTCAAGAACCTTATGGGCGGCAACCTGGTGGAACAAAGAAATAAATGTGACGTCCACTTTGTTCTACACGTGAAGAATAATTTAAAGTCTTTAAAAGTTTCTTCTCTTCAGTCACATGATCAGAGGCCGTTCATAAAACTGTCGTGGACGATGGTTCAGGAAAGTGAAGCCAATGTAAAAGTGCGTAAAACCTGTATTCTGTGTAATGACCAGCAGGGGGCGACTCCACTGGTAGTTTCTATAGAAGTCTATAGAAAATGACTCTACTTCTCACTTTCTAACGTCAGGAGACGACTTCGTCACTCGATGACAAACTCGAGATAATAGCAGCTCGCTACCTGTTGCTCTCTCTTCAGTCTCTCCATCGCCTGGTGGAACTCTCGCTCTTTCTGGCTCGCCTCCGCGATGGTGGCCTGGTTCTGCTCCTCGTACGCCATGGCGACAACGGCCAGGATGAGGTTGACCAGGTAGAAGGAGCCCAGGAAGATCACCACCACGAAAAACACCATGTAGGTCTTACCGGCCGAACGCAGCGTCTACACACACACAGACACACACCACGAGCATCCAGCATTAACACACAGGTGAAGGAGGAAGCCTGCAGGGACGGTCATTTTCAAAATAACAAGATTTTCTGTCTCTACAGTCTGATTCAGTCACAAAACCTTTTTTTTAACTGTCCTGATACCAAGAGAGAGGAAAAGACATCAACATGCACCTTCTCTAACCTCTGACATGAAACAAATAAAACCTCATGTGTGTCCTTAATGTGGTAAAGAATGTCCGTGTATGTTTAGATCCAGAAGTATTACCTGGTGGTAGAGGTTTTCCCAGTAGTCCTGCGTCATCAGGCGGAACAAAGACAGAAAAGCCCAACCGAAGGTGTCGAAGCTGGTGTAGCCGTAGTTCGGGTTCCTTCCTGCCTTCAGACATTCAAACCCATCCGGGCACTTTCTGCAACACACACACACACACACACACACACACGTTCAACATTATTCTATCCAATGTCACATTCTACGTTTGTGATGTGTGAAGACGACGTCGATGAACAAGAACAAACTGAAACAAAGCTCTGACTCACACACCAGTCTCATGCTGAGTCACACAAAAGGTTGCCGCTGTGCAGACGCTATCGGGGGATTCAAACTGACCGGCCTGAAGTCACAAGCCCACCACCTTGACCTGTCGCGGCTGGCACCGCCCCCGCACGGCCGCCGCCGCCGCATCAGCATCAGCAGCTGGGAAGCTTTTAAAGCAGCGAGCTCACACTGAGTCATCCCCAGCCAAACCTGCCAGTATTTATTATCACCTTGCAACACAACATTTGGTGGGAGCTGGTTCATGGTAATTCATTAAGGACACGTGTAAATAAAATAAACACTTATATAAGAGTCACTCACAGAAAGAGACAGAAACAGACTCAGAGCTTAGTGACAGCTCTGTCTTCTTCAGTTGTTCTCATGAATCTGGAGAATGTCCAGACGATGAAGTTACAGGTTCAGTGTGAAGGATGTGAGATGTTGAGAGATGTCGAGCACGATAACAGCAGCTAACGTCTCACGATCAGAGACTAAGTGGCTGTTTTCACGGACGTCACAGTAACAACAGTCGATTTTAACACGATAAAGCTGCACTGCTTCTCCAAATATTACGGTAAAGAAATCGACTGGAGCACAAACCGCTGATCCGAGCACGACGACAACAATCGATCGTAATCGCGTCATCAGTGATTCTAACTGCAGAGTGAGGCATCAGCCACTCCACCGGATAATACCTGCAGAGCAATAAGAGCAATGGATTTCAGTCCGGTCAGTTCACAGCGACAGTTCATGAAGATCGTCAGAATCTGTTTCTCCAAACGGGACAGAAGTGAAACGTGATGTTTATGTGACAGGAAGACTACGATCCAGTTAAACCTCACGTCAGGGGGGCTTCCTCTTATTGAGTCATCATGGTCAAAACACACGTGTGTTGGTGTTAATGGGGTTAAAGGTTGATAAAAACTTTACGGGACGGTTAACGATAATAAGATCATGTGGAGCTGCTGATACAAGTGTTACGGTAACAAGAGTCGATGTTAATTCAATGAGGACGAGCAGGTAGCTGATGATACACTGTAACTACGGTAACAGCAGCTGAAACACACACACACACACACACACACACACACACACACACACACACACAGACTCTGTTAGACTGATAACACAGTGGACAAAGTCATCACACACACACACACACAAAATATGACTAACCAGTCATCTTGATGCCAGTTAGACTGACACCAACCCTGAGCAAGGCCACTGTGTCCACCATACACACACACACACACGCACGCACGCGCACGCACGCACGCGCACACACACACACACACACACACACACACACACACACACACACACACACACACACACACACACACACACACAG